ACAGCTGTCAACGAATGTTCAATTAAAAAATATCCATTATGCTTTGGGCGGTGAATGAGTTTTGTTAAAATGTTTTATAAATTCGGTAGAGCAAGACAAAATGCCCCTTTTTCCCCGATATTTACGATTTTTTATATTTTTTTTCTATTTAAAATATTGGAACAAACGGACCGTGGGAATTATTATCCATGTTTTACCCACTAAATCCCAAAATCTAAATCTATTTCGATCAGGGCCGCCGCAAGAGGTTCAACGCCTGCGTGCAAATTTGAATTTGGCGCCCCCATTTTTTGTTAATAAAGTATGAGTATTCCTTTGTACCTATAAAAAATATATTCACAGAGTTTTGTTAAGATTAAAAACTAAAGAGAATTTTTATTAAATTTGTTTATAAAGAAGTGTCAATAAATCAAAGTAATTAATTAAAAAGTATTTAAAATGTTGTTTTCTAGAGTTGTAAATAATCAAATAAGTATTACATTGAAAATTTTACTTAAAAAAACTGTACTTTTCTAAATTTCATACTACCTATACAGTCCCGTTTAATCAAATTTGATAAGACCAAGAAGAGGACCAACGCTACGAAATAAAAATTCGGTTCAAGCGGAACAAAGAATTTATATATTTTTAAGCTTTTATTTGAATGATATTTTGTAAAATGAAATAATAGATTCTGAACAAAATTTACACTTTTAAAACTCCCCATCATTTATTTTGTTTAAAATATCAACTCAAATTGTGATGAAAACAACTAATACGATTTTGTAAAGGCATGTAAAGGAATTTTATGGGTAGTAGCAATATTCCAAGAATCATCTTCAAATATTTTCATCAGAGTATAAAAAAGTCTACAGATATGATACCAAAATTGTTTAACTGCATCTATTCTGCTAGAAAAAAATTAAATTTCATGAAATAATTTGAAAAAGTGATATAGTTTCATAGGAAACTTTACTACTTGTCACTTGCCTCCGCACCCCTAATTAGAGTACACAATTTGTAATATCACCAATAGATTCATTCAAATTACTTCAGATGTAATCTTTTGTAAATTTATGTCCACCGGTTACTGAGACAATGGAAAAAAAAGATCTTTTAGCTTTTTTTTTGGCTCACTTAGGAATCATTTCTGAACATAGGTCTTTAGATTTTTTTTTCTTCTTTTGACGTAGGAGACCTGCCCCCAAAATCTTTCAATATTTTTTCCGGACATCTGGACTTCCAGTATGATGACTTTCTCCGCATATTGTGTTGTAGTTTGTTTTAAATTATGTTTATGTATTTTAATTTTGCATCTTTTGTTGTTTGAGTAATTCAATTTTTTTATTTATGATTTTATTAAAATTTGTTGCTCGTCTGGCGCCCCCTGGATATAGCGCCCGCGTGCGCCGCACGCCCTGCACCCCCGTTTGTGGCGGCCCTGATTTCGATAATAAATAAAAGATTAAAAGGTATAATTGGAACACCTTGCAGAGTACATTTTAAGACAAGTAAAGTACCGCCTTAATAATGTATTATTAATTTTGATTTAACTTTCATCTAAATCCTTTGACGAAAGCTTTACTTTACTAGCTACTTTTAATAAAAGAAAAAGTTTTTTTTTGTGAAAGAAATGTGATAAAAGGGTTGAACTATTGATTTTCCCACAGCTATATAAAATAAATTGTACAAAAGAGATAAATTTTGTCAAAATCGAGCACCTGTGTATTAATGCAAATGAGACAATAAATTTTTCGTGTTGCGATATTCCCAACAGCGACCATTAAATGCTTCCATGTCTAAAAAGCGGATCTCCACTCCACAGACTCAATGACATAAAAGAGCGCATCTTCCGGTAGATTTCTAACAGTATTTTAATGACGAAACACAATTCGACATAAAACTGTTGTTTTTCGCTGAATTTCGATGATGTGCACGAATATTGGAACGCTGATTTTGCTTGGTTTCGACGAAAACGTAGTCAAACCGCCAGAATGTGTGATGCGGAGTTACACAAAAATAAGTGTTGAAGCGGAATAGTGATTCGATATGGTGGCGGTAACGAGATGATAATGCGAAGCTTCCGGCAATCTGTGACGACCTGGATGACAATGGTGGACCGAGTCCGATTTCAATCCAAATCCACTGTTTAAAGTTCAAGTTCATTAAATAAATTTATGAAAAAATTGCAGTTTGATGGATTCAGTCCCATTTTCATTATAAAATAACATTCTATTTAATTTTCGCGAAGTGACACATTTCGCAGATGATCCATTTTTCGCTTGAATTTGTGGCCTCTGGGGAGCGTCAGAGACGCGAACGTATTATTATTTTTAATTTTGACTAATTATATTGCGAACTCTTTTGTGTAGAATGTTGACGACCTAGAATAATGCCACAACGAAAATTGAGTGCTGTTGTAAATTGATACTAATACAATGGAGATATAATTTAATTAAAATTGAGGGAAGTTGATATTGGATGGGGTTTGAGAACTAATATCGGTACCTACGATGTCTCAATTTAACTATAAAAGAATTTTATTCGATTTTAGTGATATTTTGTTTCCAGCGGCTGAATTACTAGTTTAGCCATTGTAGCACTTCTCAAGACCTGAATTTTGTATAGTGGTAGCTTTTTCTTTTAAATTTTTTCCTATTTCGATTTTTTCATTTTCACATAAAAATTACTATGTATTTGCATTTGAACTTTTGTTAATATCGCTTTAGAATCTAAAATTCTTTTTTTATTTTTTTTTGTGTTTTGTTTTTTGACCATTCAATTACGAATAAATAAAGTAATATCTATTTCAAATTGCCACGGTTAGATAGTTTCTAAAAACAGTTTTTCAGGTATTGATTTTTTGTAAGAAATATTTACCCACAGCAATTTGAAACAGATATTTTAATTTATTTTTATTTTTCTTATTTTAAATCTTCCACTTTGACTTTTTTACGTAGTCCTTTTTAATTTTTATAGTTTTTTATTTCTCACAAAAATTCTTTCTTGCATTTTTGTTTTTTTAATTTTCCCCTTCATAATTATCTATTTTTTCATTTATTTTATTATCTATTTATTATTATATTATTTTATTTATCTATTTTTTCATTTATTTTATTATCTATTTATTATTATATTATTTTATTTATCTATTTTTTCATTTATTATAGTTTTTGTTTGTTTAGCACAAGTACTTGCTAAATTTTAATTTTTAGTTTCATAGAATCTTTGGTTTAATTTATGAAAATTTATTTAAAACCGTTTGAATCTTTTCAGTGTTGATTAGCTTTTTCAGCAATGTTCAACGAGTATTTTCTCTTTTCCTGTTTTGTTGATAAGTGGTTTTCATACTTTTTTTTCTCAGGAATTAAACTACATATTACTTTTTTATAATACTGCAACATACAGGGTGCGCCAGAACTTGCGCCCAAGAGAAAATTTTCAAGTAAGGTTAGATACCAGGAACATGAAAAAAATGTTTAAAAAATTCTCTGTCAAAAAATTTTGACATTTACTGTTTGACATTTTTTTATATCTATTTAATGATACTGATGATCTTGTATATGTTTTTTTTTTACAATTACTTAGTAAAGGAACAAAAATTTTGCCAATAAAAGCCACAAATAACATTGAACAGAGTTACAATTCAGGATACAGCTTCCTTGTTTCCTCTTTTAATAGTCTATAGCAAAAAAACTTGAAAAATTATTTTTCCAACAGAAATAAATAGTCAAAGTGCAAACTTCAAACCCTCATAACTTCGAAATTTTTATAGATTAAATTTTTTTAACATTTTTTCCATGTTCCTGGTATCTTATCTTATATGGCATTTTTCTCTGGGGCGCGAGTTCTGGCGCACCCTGTATTTATGCACTTTACTCTTTGATTAGGTAAGTTTAGAATTAAGAAGGTTTATTAAATATTTAAATAAAACTCAAAATCCATATTTAATACATATTTTATTAGAAGATATTAAGAAAAATATGTAAAACAAAACTGATAAGATTATTTAACACAAATTCGAAAATAATCAGTAAAATTTAAATCAGAACAAGAATAATATAAATAATTTCCAACATTAAAAATATTACAAAATGTATGGATTTGTCACAATGGATAATTTTGTGTTCGTTTCCATTCAATTTTCAGACTTCAAATTTTTAGTTGGTTTTGCTTTTTTATTTTTAATTTCCTTATTTCACTCTAACATTTGTTAAGAACCTCTTTTTCCCACTTCGAAATTATTTATTTTTTCATACATGAAAGTCTATTTAAAGCATAATTTTATTTTAATTATGTAATGCAATTATGTAACACAAATTAATTACAAATAAATTAAAGCTTTATCTATAATCACAACAAGCATTTTATAAACAATTTTTATCACTCAAATACCACAATATTTGTACAAAAACATTTTGCAAAAAGCCAGAAATACCATCAAAGCACAAACTTTTCGCTTTTTTGGTTTTTACCCAATTAACTATACATAGATTTTTTCACAAAAAAAAAAAACAGTTTATCGCAGCGCAAATTAAATTTCCATGTTTTGGAAGCACACAAAGTCTGAAAAAATTGCCTGAAATTGGTTTAAAATGCAGATGTACACAATTTAATCCCGACCCTCCCTATTTTATTAAGTCAATGGTGTCAAAATTAAACTTATTATCAACCTGACAACTTCAATAACAAATTACACATGCACTGAACGCGTTATTACTTTATGAAAACAAATATCCCACCCAACAAGTGTTGCAAATTCAGTAGTTTTAACATCATTAGTTAGTGTTTGAAGTGTTCATTAAATCATAATTAATTGAAAACTTCGACTTAGTGTTATAATTTAATATTGGCGAACCTGTAGCCCTCCAGAATTCAGAGCGAGTGATCGTAACGCAAACTTACACCACGAGAGCGGTAAAAATAATTTTGCCGCGAAACATCCAAGCGGTATCAAAGTCATTACCACCTGCTCCGGTACGACTTAACCTTGAAGTAGGCGCACCATCAACAAACTTTACCTGAGATAAATCCATATCCATCACAATTTTCTCGACGATGGATTGCGAGTGGACGCAAATAGCCGAAAAAGCTAGTACAAGTCCCACGGAAAAGCACTTTTGCGGCCCCATTATTGCACCAAAAACGCACTACACTCGTAGTTCGTTGACACTAGAGAAGACGGAATCACACACACTATACAACAAACCGAAAGCGACTGAACACACGGCCGCTGAAGGCTCAAAATCCCCTCCTGAATTCGTAAATGCGCGCCGAGAAGAGCGCAAACGCGGCTTGCGCAACGGCGATTTTCCGGGAATCCGGGATGTCCGAAGAAGTCGTGCGAGAATTTGGAAGTGCGGAGGAATTTGGGGGCAAGAGGAAATGCCAGGTTGAAGGAAAAAAAAGAAAAAAAAATCTGTGGCAAACAAATGGTTCAGTTTTAGATGGGCAGTTATTTTGTTACAAACTTGTAAATTTTTCAAATTTTTGCATCCTTTAAACCGAATGTCTGATACACCACTGGTCTTTTTCCAAAGCCTAGCTATTTATAAATTTCAAAAAGTTTCTAATTTAAAAAATACACACGCAACAAATGCTTAAACTATTAATTTTTTAAAAAACTAATTTATGAATAATAAAGTACGATAAAATGCGACGTTTTATCAACAATAAAAAAAAATTGAAATTTTCTTTTAGTTTTGAATTCTACAAAAAAATTTATTTTTTGAAATGCCAACCCACTATAAAACCATTTTTCTCATGAAGGTTATGATATAAGAATTTAAACTTTATATTTAATTTTTTCAAAAACTTTTTTTTACATACAATCACTCAAAAACAAAACTAAATTTCGTTCTCAAATTACGACCACATTTTTTTTTTTTAACCGCTTGGTTTCATATTTATATTCACCCTGTATATATGTTCCAGCATGTTCCAGAGAGTTGGTAAAGTCCCTGTTAAGATATTCATATTAACCCTCTGCATTACTTAAAATTATTTCCTTAGTTTCTGAAATAATTCAGCTTCTTTGACAAAAACAAACTATTAAGAATTTATTACATAAACAAAAAAAATAAAACTTTTACAACTCGACAGAAAGAAGTATAAACTTTAGTGCTATAACATATTTTTAGCGTATTGCAGTTAAAAAATTAAAAAATGAAGAAGTTGGTTAACAGTAAAATTCTTTAAAAATTTAATAAAACACCAAATTTTTTGTTTTGCGTTTTGATATAATTTGAAATGTTATTGTAGCAACAGAAATAGAAAAAACACTCCTCCAGTGGGGTAGATATTAGTGCAATACCGGGATTAAATCTCAACTTTTTAGAAAATATTTCCGTTTGTTATATTTCGAACCACACCCTCCAAATATTTTAACCTAAATAAAAAATTTTACGCCTTCAATTTTACGATAACATAAAATAAACAAGTTTCAATTTCCCATTCTCTCCACCCAAATTTCATTTTATTCCAGGTGACAATATTTCCAATATAGCTTTTCAGTAATAAGAGAAACAAGTCCCTAAGCTAGATAGGAAACAAGAAAAATTGATAAAAGAGAATTCTAGTAAGTAAAATTAATCATGATAGGAAAACACGTCAATACCGAATTAACATTCGCGCAAAATTTAATTGACGGGGATAATTAGTCAAGGATGATGCGTGTTCTAATTAATTAAGACGGGAAATAAGCGAGAAACTTGTGAGAAAGGAATTGATAAGAGATAAAAGAAATATGATCTTTTTCTTGTTGACAACAATATTCTTGTTTCCGTGTCATAGAGTAGAAATAAAACGGTTACTACCGAGAATCAAACTATAAGAAATTTATTGTGAGGAATTGTGACTAAAATGAAATTACGTATTTTGATTTGATTCATAAAGTTAGATGAATAATGTAATGTGTGGAAACTCATTTAATTAATTAATAATCATTTTCAATGACAATTCACTGACTCATACATGAGTATCTAACCGCTGAAATTATTATATGAGAGGTATAGTATCGCCTTGAAAGATTGTGTTTTAGTTTACATCACTGTTTTAAAAACAGACAACTAGAAATTAAAAATATTAAAAATATGTATAACTAAGCGCATAACTAGGTTTACTTTTATACATTTTTATTAAATATAAAGTGACGTTTCGTTATAAATAAATTACACAAGATGCGCCAAAGAGTCATAATAATTTGAAACGAGTTCTATCGCTAAAGTGGAAAATTTTTATGCCCAGAATTACAAAAAAAAACAAGTTAAATAAAGTTTCCTAATGAAATAGAATAAATAAAACGATAAAGCAAATTACTAGAAAAATCGAAAATAATAGTCTCAAAAATTCGAATTATACTTACAATTAAATTGCAAGTCCTCGAAAAATACACTTTAATTAATTTAATAAACAAAATATATTTTCATTTTTAGATACAAAGCAATTTTCCATAATGAGTACTTAGTTACAAAAATAGTAGCTTGATAACAATTAGAGCACTTAAATGAAATAGCCAAATAGGTACATTTCATTACTAACCATGCATTTAACTCAATTAAAACTTGGTCAGACTTGAATAATGTAATTACTCAAAAAAATCCGTTAACGTGACAACAAATAAAAATTTTATTTTTAAAATAAAATAATTCCATAGTTTTAGCCCGACTTCATTAAAATGTAAAATTACTAAAAGGTTTAAATATTTGTTTCCGGAAAGAACAAAAAGCTTGCAGGAGAAAATAATCGATAATTTTAATGAGAATAAATCGTTGACAGGTAGACATGTTGTATTGCAAATTCTCTTCCAGGATAAAATTATTAAAATTTACCAAACTCTGTCTAAACTGAATTCAGACATTCTCATTCATCCCTGATCCCAGTTTGGCCATAACTGCATCTTAAAAACACCCTAATGAGCCCCAGTTCCATTAAATTCGTTAATTCTTTCGCAATTATCAATAATATATCCCACCACTTGCACGTAATTGCCTTTTAGCAAAGTAATAAAATACTTATTACCCGGCAATATACCCAATCGTAAAATTTCATATCATTGAAATATTGAGACAGGAAGCCGGCCTGAATCCCCCGACTTTTCAAAGAAAATGTCACAGATTATTTTCCATGCCATTGAGCGACGTGCATAACATTAGTAACTGTTGTGAAAAAGTTATAAGGGTGAGGTATTGATTGTTATTTACTGAAGGGGTTTTATGATACGGCCAAGTCACGAAATGTCGACAAAGTCGCTCAAAATGGGAGAGTTTCACTGCGGATTTATTATGTGCACATAAGACGCTCGTAAAGGAGCGGTTTGTGATTATATTTTTTGAATATCTAGGTTGTAAACCTAGTGTGTGTAACACGCTGAAAATTATTACAGCTTAGTGTACCTACACACAATAAAAAAAATCAATTAAAAAAACACTATCCTATTAATTTTAATTAAATAAAACACGCAAAAGTAGTTTGGTCTGTCAAAAATGGATGGATAAACATGTAAAATAGTGTAAACAAATAATTTATGAAAAATTATGCGCCAAAACTATTAAAACAGCAAATAATGATAAATAAATAAACAGTTATATTAGAATTTTAATGTTTTTGTTTGCAATAATAATACCAAAAATTACTAACAAAATCAGTGATAACAATGTATTGTTTAGCAACAATAGTGCTGAAAATAATCACATATAACACGGCTGAAAAACAAATTCCCTTTCGAAGCTGGTTTGAGAAAACAGCATTGTAAGACTTGAAAAACGCGCTGAAAGGGCAAAACTCAGGTGTTTCATTCGCCTAATGGTCTAGTCAATTGTTTACAACAGCCAAATTTTCGAAATTATATTATTGAACTCTTGAAAATTTCTTAAAAAGCTCTGGTGGGAGTAACTTTAAATGAAGTCAGGTACTTGGATAAATAAATTCAATCAAGTTCTCTACGAAAGTTTCATCAACTAAGATCAATATCAGCCGAAGAATAAATAATGAGACGAAACATTTTCAAGAGACTCATCGAACACACTCTGTTTATAAATTTTAACACAGCTGTAAATTTTTATGTAGAAATCGGTCACAGAAGGGCTTTGTTGTTGCCAACGTGACCACTATTTTACTGTCACCACAAGCCGTAAAAGCTACGATCAATTAGTAATTCAAAGCGTTGTTTTTTTAGACACAAAGACACTTTCTTTGTAACTTATAAAACACGAGAAGTAATTACCGGAAAACCAATTTAAATGCAAATTTTCTATGTTAGACATGAGTTCTGACAAAATTAAATTATTTCAGGTATGAAGCGGTAAAATTTTTATAGACTAACATACACTCGCTACTCATAAAGAAACAAAATTTTAATCAATTTTCATTTAAGTAATTAATGAAACACAAACATTTCGTTTCACACCGTAGCCTTAGCAACAAAAATTAATTACATATAGTTATCACTCTGTACTCACCCTCTGCGGCATAAATCCTGATTCAATTGCAAACTCGACTATATTACCTGTTCCCAAAGGAAATAAAATTTTCACTTAGAGTGAACTAAAACTTCGCAACTTATTGCGACGCATGAGATAAATTTTCAGAACGACATTATGTATTCTCTAATGTCTTGAAGAATAAAAAGTTTGACCAAAAACCGATATTTCACGTCACCCATTTATTCTCGTTATTTGACGTTGAAACGAATAAATTTCCATCAAACTGGACTTGGATTTCCACAATATCAAAGTTGTAATTTGGTACAGTCGCCACAGAAAGTATTGTTCCCCGAAGATAGAGGGTACACCACTTCTGTGCACGACTGTACCTTTTTCAAATGTCGATTAGGTAAAGTGGCACGAAGAGAATAAACAAAATAGTCAATTTCAGATGTTCAACATTTTATTTTATGTAAATTACAATACTACGGCTACATTTAATGCAAGTGCGAAGTCCTGAAAATGTGAATGAGTTGACAAAAGCGGGAGCACAATTTTGATTTGTTTGGTCCGTAAGTCACAACCTTGCTCCGTGAAACACTGAAAAGTAGTGTGATGATTTTTAGTCTTGGATGATGTATTAAGCTACCACAATGCAAACAATATTTACAGAAAAAATCGTAAATACTAAAAATTATATTAAAATAGGTTACAACTGTCTTAAAATACATTTAGTCCCCCTCCAAGTAAGTTTATCACAATTAGGGATTTTTTACAGTACTAAAAGCAACATTGTCCGACTTTTG